TCTTTGGCGCTCAGCCTTCTTTATGGGCCAACTCTCACATCCATTCATGACCACTGGAAAAAGCACAGCTTTGACTATATGGACCTTTGTTGGCAAAGTGATATCTCTGCTTTCTAATACGCTGTCTAGGTTTGTCCTAGTTTTTCTTCCAAGGAGCAAGTTTCTCTTCATTTCATGACCACAGTCACCGTCCACAGTGATTTTGGAGCCCAAGAAAATAAAACCTGTCACTGTTTCCACTGTTTCCCCATCTATCTACCATGAAGTGATGGGACGGGATGCCATGATCTTAGTTTTCTGAATGCTGAGTTTTAAGCCAGCTTTTTCACTCTCCTCTTTCACTTTCATCAAGAGGCTCTTTAGTTCTTCTTCGCTTTCTGCCATTAGGTGGTATCATCTGCATATCTGAGGTTGTTGATATTTCTCCCAGAAATCTTGATTCCAGCTTGTGCTTTATCCAGCCGGCATTTCACATGATGTACTCTGCATATAAGCTAAATAAGCAGGGTGACTATAGACAGCCTTGACGTACTCCTTTCTTAATTTTGAACCAGTCCGTTGTTCCATGTACAGTTCTAACTGTTGCACCTTGTCCTGCATACAGTATTCTCAGGAGACAGGTAAGGTGGTCTGGTATTCCCATCTCTAAGAATTTTTCACAGTTTGTTGTGATCCATATACAACCATAAATAATAAAATTTACCCATTCATATACATAACTTGAAATTTGGCATTTTTGTTCATAATTTTATTTTTAAGACATTCATTTTGACAGCTACACCTCAGTTTCACTGTTTGATAGCAATTGGTTTCCATTATAAAAATATCACATAATGCATTTATGATATCTTACTGATTACAATTTTTACTGTTCCCTTATTTCCTAACACAAACCATTACTTCTATGAACATTTCTTAGCATGTCTCTTTCTGAACATATATAAGAGTTTTCTAAGATTTATACTCCTAGGAATGGAATTTTTGGGTTACATGGTACACACTTTCAGGTTAGAACATAAAGCAGATAACTGTTTGCAATGCTTCTACAGTTTTACACTTCCACCAGAGGAACTCTGTTTGGCCAAATCCTCAACAAGAGATCTTGTTATGTTTTTTAAGTTTTTAATTCTGATGCATACAAAATGACTCAATTTTCAATTATGGTTTTCTCGGGGTATATGGCCCGTAGTGGGATTCCTGGGTCATATGGTAGTTCTATAGTAGTTGTATCAGTGTACATTCCCACCAACAGTGCAAGAGGGTTCCCATTAAGGAGATTTAATATTGTGAAGATGCCCATACTACCTAAAGCAATCTATAAATTTAATGCAATCCCTATCAGAATATCCATCATATTTTCCACAGAACTAGAACACACAATCCTAAAATTTATATGGAACCACAAAATGACCCAGAATAGCCTAAATAATCTTGAAGAAGAAAAAAAGCAAAGCTGGAGGTATCATGTTCCCATGTTCAGGCTATGCCACAAAGATACAGTAATCACAATCGCATGGGACTGACGTAAAGCAGACAGAAAGTACAATGGAGCAGAATACAGAGCCCAGAAAGAAACCCAAACACTCACAGTTAAGTCTGTGACAAAGGAGGCATGTCATATACAGTGGATAAAAGACAGTCTCGTCGTAAATGGTGCTGGGAAAACTTGCCATCAACACATAAAACAATGATATTACAACATTTTCCCACACCATATACAAAAGTAAATTCAAAGGAGTTAAAGACCTAAAGGTAAGCCTGAAAACCAAAAAAACTCCTAGAAGAAAACGTGCAGAACACTCTGACATATATCATAGTAGTATTCCTTTGAGTCTGTCTCCTGAAGCCAAAGAAACAGAAGCAAAAATAAGCTATTCCAACCTAATTAAATATGAAAGGTTTTTCACAGCAAAGAAAACCATTGACAACCTACCAAGTGAGATAAACACTTCTAAATGATATGGCCAATAAGGGGTTGCTTTCCAAAATGTATAATCATTTCATATAACTCAATACCAAAAAAACCAAAAAACCCAATTAAAAAATGGGCAGAAGACCCGAATATGCATCTTTTCCCCAGAAAACATACGGATGGCCAAAAAACACATGAAAAGATGCTCAGTATCACTAATCACCAGAGAAATGTAAATCAAAACCACAGTGAGATATCACCTTGCACATGTCAGAATGGCTATCATCAAAAAGTCTACAAATAACAAATGTTGGTGGAGGTGTGGATAAACATATATACCATAAAATGTATATTCCCACCATATATAACAAGGGAACTCTAATACACTGTTAGAATGCAAATGGGAGCAGACCCTGGGAAAAGAGTATGTTAGTTTCTCAGAAAAAAACTAAAAATAGAACTACCATATAATTCAATAACTCTACTTCTTGATATATATCCAAAGGAGGGGGGGGGACCACTAATTCAAAAAGATACCTTCGCCCAGTGTTCATAGCAGTACTGTTTACAACAGCCAAGATATGGAAGCAGGGGCTTCCCTGGTGGTCCAGTGTTAAGGCTCTGAGCTTCCAATGAAGGGGGCCCAGGCTCAATCCCTGTCCAGGGGACAAGATCTAGAATGCCATATAAATAAAAAATAAAATAACTATGCTATTTTTTTAAAGGTATGGAAGCAAACTAGGTTTGTATCAACAGATAAATGGATAAAGAATATGTGTATGCATGTATATACATATATACCATGAGGGATCGCTCAGACCTAAAAAAGAATCCTGTCATTTGCAAAAACATGAAGAGACCTAGAGAATATTATACTTAGTGAAATAAGTCACAAAGAGAAAGACAACTATTTCATGTTATCACTGATATGGGATTTGAAACAAACCAAACAAAATCCAAACTCACAGGAAAAGGATCTGATTTGATAAGGGGCAATTAAGATGGTCAAATACACAAACCTCCAGTCGTTAAGATACGGAAGTAGGAACGCACACCACATGATGACCATGTTAACACTGTATCACTGAGAGTTAAGTTGAAGATCCTAAGAGTTCTCGTCCTGAGGACAAAACATTGGCTCTCTTGTTTTTCTTCCTTCCTTCCTCTTTCTTTCTTATCTATATTAGATGACGAGTGTTACTGCGGTTAACTTACCACAGTAAGCAGTAATCACGATCCCATATGTGTAACTCAAGGCATTACGCTGCACACCTTAGCCTTACACAGCGCGTGTGGCGCCCGGTGTGTCTGACTCGTTGGGATCCTCCGGACTATTGCCTGCCCGGCTCCTCTGGTCATGGAATTTTCCAGGCAGGAAGACTGGCGTGGTTGCCATTTCCTACAGCAGGCCATCTCTTTTGTTTCCCGCGTTGGCAGGCAATTTCTTTAGCACAGCGCCACCTGGAGCCCAACCTTATACAGTACTGTGTGTCAATTATATCTTAAAACTGGGGGGGGGAAGGGGCAGTAAACTCAGTGCTTAAAAGGAAAATGTTCTATTAATAAATCAAAACTTGATACTTTTATAGACTGTATATGTAAGGTTAAATGCTATGTTGTCAATAAAGCATCAATCTAGTGTACATAAGAATCCAGAGAAGAAAAAGAATGAAGAGGCAGGATAGTCACAGGTATGAAGACTTTGGTGAAAATGCAACTTCAAGAGCACAGATAAACTCTAATCTTTTCTAAACATAAGCACTTCTGCTGTAATACTGGGTATTGTTACTTAGTCACTAAGTTGTGTCTAACTCTTTTGATCCCATGGACTGTAGCCTGCCAGGCTCCTCTGTCCTTGAGATTTCACAGGCACAGACACTAGAGTGGGTTGCCAGTCCCTCCCGCAGGGATAGAAGCCTCGTCTCTTGCATCTCCTGTATTGGCAGGGGGCTCCTTTACCACTGACTCACTAGAGAAGCCCAATATTAAGTAGGCTTTGCTTAAAAACGTCCCTTCAGGCAAAATCAAGCAAATAATTAGGCTGATGGAGAATATGATGTAGAGGTGAACCATTCAAAAACCTATGCAATTTTGTAAGCACAGTCCTAACAAAAATAATCACAATCTTAATGAATTTTAGCTTAGCTAAATCTCTCTAGCATTTTCACCCAGCATCACAGTCAATCAATTCTTTAAGTTTTAAGGCTAGGGCTTACCTCCCTCCTTTGAGAAATAGTCCCTTGAGGGCACCAACTGTCAATAGAAAAGTTTCATCAAAATTTTAATTTAAAATCTGATATTTAAGAATGTCTTTGCAGCTTCTTCATCTTCAGTTGCAGCTTCACTGGATACATTAACACTCTAGAAAGTGTACTGATCCTTGATAGCATTAAAATACTCAAAACTGCTTACAAAGAAAGGTATTTCAATAGGATTTTTAGCTGGCCTTTTTTTTTTTCTTTTTTTTTTTTTTTTTTTAATTTATTTGACTGCACCCAGATCTCAGTTGCAGCATGTGGGATCTAGTTCCCTGACCAAGGATCGAACCCATGCTCCCTGCACTGGGAGTGTGGAGTCCTAACCACTGGACCACCAGGAAGTCCCTGGCCTTTTTTTTTAAGACTAAGGTTTTCTCATTAACATTGAGAAGCTTCCACTGATTGTTTCAAAAACTGCTAAATTGGTGTTAACCAGTGACTTTTGAGTTATATTTTCTCTATCAATCCTCTGTGAACTAGTTTGCAGCATAGAAACACATGTTCTATTGTGGCAGAAAATTATACGCAAATTGAAGTCTTAACACTACTCTCCAAATTGTTATAATCTTTACTATACTTTTACTATACTTACGCAAAAAATACATATATAGATATTTACACATAAACACAGAAACATACTACAAGTTCCTTCAAAATGGATCAGAATATTATTGTTTTATCTTATTTCCTCATTGCATGAATTTTCAAATATTTTTAGATAATAAAATATTAAGAAATAATATAAATACCCTACAATTATTAACCTGTAATTCTAGGGAAACCTATATTGTGTTTAAAATCCTACATCATTAAAAACATAAGAGAAACGCTTTATAAGAATGTACTTTATTATGAAAATACAAATCACCACAGATTATGCTTCTACAACTTTTGCAAACATCACTTGTGATTTTCCTTTTCTGAATGTAGCACAGCAACAGATCTTGGAGAATCTTTGAAGGAAAAACTCCTGTTTTCACATTCTGATCCTCAGCTCTTCCTCCATCCTGCTGGTTCAAACAGAGAACGGTCAAGTTTCACATAAAGGCAAGCTTATAGATTTTCATAAATGCATGTTAAAGCTAGGCAGAAAAACATATAGTAAGATATGAACACTCCCTGCTTCACATTTCCTTCTGCCAGCCAAGACCACGAATAGGGCCATGTCTGCCTTTACACACAGGGTCACTGATAATACGAATAACAAAGGAGAAATTTTGTCAGTTATTCATTCTCCCAAGAGAACAAAAGAAACATTGTAGAGAAGTTTTTGTTTCATAACAATTTTATTTTTTAATAGTTGGAAAATTGCTATATAATTTGGATAGGTATTAAGTCATGTATGAAATAATTATATCAACATTTTTCTATTGAAACACATTTAAGTTTAAGAAAAACTCCACAAATTGTTGGCATGTTTTCTACACTCAAATTTGAACATTTCTTTAAGTGAAATGATTATGATTAATCATAAAATTAAATATAAAAATACAAAAATGGATATCAACTGAGGTATCAGTAGTCTTTACCAATAAAATTCAAGTCAAGATATTAAATAAAACAGAGAAGTATATGATTATATTGAATTTCATGTCTACTAATACTAAAGAAGTGTGAAAATATTTATTGCAAACTGGCCAATTGACTGTTTGGATAAATTTTCTGAGAAAATCTTTCCATTACCAAATAAAGGAAAAATGCTAATTTTTAAATAGTTTGAAATGTCTCCTTTTGGAGAGCAAATATGACTTTCATGTAAATGTTTATTATATGAACTGGATTGGCACATCTTGTCTTATTTTGAAAATTATGTATAAATATGCACAGCCCAAATGAAAAGTAGCAAGAATAAACTACATGAAACCTAAATAACTCTACATAAAAAAGTGAACGTGTTAGTCGCTCAGTCGTGTCTGACTCTTTGCGACCCCGTGGAGTGTAGCTCTCCAGGCTCCTCTGTCCACGGAATTCTCCAGGCAAGATTACTGGAGGGGGATGCCATTTCCTTCTCAAGGGGATGTTCCCAACCCAGGGATTGGACTGGGGTCTCATTTCTGGGAAAGATGGAGGGCAGGAGGAGAAGGGGACGACAGAGGATGAGATGGTTGGATGGCATCACTGATTGAATGGACATGAGTTTGAGTAAGCTCCAGGAGTGGTGATGGACAGGGAGGCCTGGTGTGCTGCAGCCCATGGGGTCGCAGAGAGTCAGACATGATTTAGAGACGGAACAACAGCTCCCTCATTGCAGGCAGAATCCTCACCATTTGAGCCACCAGGGAAGCCCGAGCCTACGTAACCGAAGACCAATAGTGAATATAGAAGACATCACTGCAGTCACAATTAACTTACGTGTATTTTCTACTTCCACTTCATCTTTTTCTTTCAAAGTATGACCTTTCTATTGAAAGTATTAAATATCTTTTAATGTGGTATCTTTTAAAAGCGCAAAACACAGACTCTATTATTAGTTTATACTCAAAAGAATAAAGCTTATAAGATCACATGAACTTATTAAACATGTAGTTATATTAAATTATTTTAAATTTTATTAATATCCAATAATATCCCATTGATAGATTGACAAATATGTAATTCTTACATAATGTTGATTCTGATCTTTCATTTTTTTTAACCCTTAGACTCTTCACAACTGTAGGCAAGACGTCACTGTTTTCCTCTGGTAGATTTTTATATAGGCCCAATGCAACAGCATTGAAGAAAATAGTAGCTACTTTGCAAGTAAAACCTGAATTTGAAAAAAAAATACAGTCATCAGATGCATCAATTTATTTAGAGCAAAATGTTTATGGAAAGAAAGATATTTACCAAAGAAAAGGTGAACATATTTCATCTCTAAAGTTACCAATTTTCCAATTGTAGAATGTAATTAATGTCATAAACTTCTATCAAGTTACTTAAAGGAAAAACTTTTTTTAATGTTTGTAAAACCTTTTAGATTTCTTAAATGTATAGCCCAAGAAAGATGCAAAGCTTATTACTATTTCACAGCATGTATTAACGCTAAAACATAAAAATACATTTCTACTTTCAAAACTAATTATCAGTGGAAACTGGAAACTTTTAAAGTCACTTCATGCAGCTTTACTCTTTTTGAAATATATATAATTTTCTAAATACCAACAGAAACATTTTAGAAAAACTAATTGACTATGTTTAAGTTTTTAAATTCCTTTTCACTTTTCAAGTTTCAGAAAATTACAGGCATTATATAAAGTTACTTGAAATTTGGATGCAAATAATCCTGTTAAAGTAAAAAATATTTTACAGCAACAATATCAATTATAGTGGTTTCAAAGATAAAATAGGAAACATTAATGAGTCTATATCATTTGTAATGATACATTTCAAAAATTTATTTATAACAGCCGAACATGGCAAACAGCCCAAATATCCATTAATAAGAGCATGAATAAACTATAGCATATTAAAAAATGAAGTGGTATTCAGAAATTTTTAAAAAGCACAAACTACTGCATAGAGTAACATGGATGAATCTCCCAAAAGTATAACATTAAGCAAGACAGGTGAAATCTGCCCCGCCTCCAGCATATATTCTATTCTATTTGCATAATTTCTAGAACAGGCTAAACTGACATATTGTAATAGAAATATGAAAAGGGTTTATCTGTGCAGAAGGAAAATTGACTAGAAAAGGACATAGTATAAATTTCTATAGTTTGTTTTGGATGCAGCTTGCACAGGTGCACCCAATTATCAAAAGCCAGCACATGGAACAGCCAAGACATTACCATATGAACACCTATGGTAATTGTAGGCTAACTGCATCTTATTTTTTAAAAAACAATACCACCTGATACATTTTTCACAAACTAAATAGTGTGACCAGCATCTGGATGAAGAAAATTAAGCATTGCCAACACACCAGAAACCTTTCTCATATTTCCTCAAAGTCACTGACGACAAAAGTTTAATTTTATTTGCTTTTGAAGAATATTTATAGCAGTTTAAAATTCTGTAAGTAGAGTCATAACAATGCATATTCATTTGTCTAGTTTCTTTCTTACAACATTATGTTTATGTGATTCATGTTTTATGAAGTTGTGTGCTTTTAAATTTCACTGTTTCATAATATTCCATTGTTGATGTTATCACAATTTATCCATTCCATTGTTTTATGACTACATATATATTTTAGCTTCCAGCATCTGTTTAAGCCTCACATTTTAGATTAACTACTTAACAATATTATAAATGTGAACGCACAGCCTGATAACTGGGAAACTAAATGACATAGATTTACTCATTATTTATGTAACCATACAAAATTTTATATGCAACAGGAGCTTTTATAGTACAGAATCTGACCTTACAAACTAGCTTACATATAAAAGTTACTCTTTACTCATCTGTCCTAGCCTAGAAAGTGTTGCACCAATGCTTTTTAAGATGTTCTTAAAACAGATGAGTTCTCAAGACAAGCCTAACAAACCTGAAGCACCACCCTAGAAATACAAACCCATGAATAGAAAAACTGTTTCACCAGAAAGAGGTTATGAGCAACTCTTACCAAAGTAGTACTACAGGGAGTCACGGTGTTGACCCAAAGAAGACACAGGTTTCTCACTAAGCTTTTTTTAACTGGGTCTCAAATTCTGTGACAGATTTTTGGTCAAGTTGTTTTCATTAAAAAGTACAGATTTTAAGAACTCATAACTTAAACCGCCACACACAAAACATATGGTCTACAAAACATTCTCCTTTCCTTCTGAAGGTTTTACGATGCATTGTTATTAACCAGTCTTTTGCTATTAAACTTAAATGGCCCATTGAGACAAACAGGTCTGAGGCCCTTCTCCCACCACTGATTAAGGCCTAGGGTGGCAGGTATTGAGGATACTATTCATTCAGCCTTCCTTCTGGGCTTTCTGGGCAGACTTGGTGAGCTCGCCAGCTCCAGCTGCCTTCTTGCCCACTGCTTTGATGACACCCAGCGACCGTCCGTCTCACGTCACGCACAGCAAAACGGCCCAAGGGCGGACAGTCAGAGAAGCTCTCGACACACGTGGGCTCACCAGTAGCCATGTCAACAATGGCAGCATCGCCAGATTTCAAGGATGTAGGGCCATCTTCCAGCTTTTTCCAGAACGACGATCAATCTTCTTTAGCTCAGCAAACTTGCAAGCAATGTGAGTTGTGTGTCAATCCAGCACAGGTGCATATCCAGCACTGATCTGGCCTGGATGGTTCAGAACAATCCGCTGCGCCGTGAAGCCAGCGCCTTCCGTTGGGGGGTCGTTTCTGCTGTCACCCGCCACGTTGCCATGATGAACATCTCTGACAGACGTTCTTGCAATGGAAGCCCGCGGTGTCCCCAGGAAGGGCTTCACTCAGGGCTTCGCGGTGCATTTCTGCGGACTTCACTCCAGTTGTTACATCGGCTGCAGCGAAGGTGACCACCATGCCAGGTTTGAGAACACCAGTCTCCACGCCACCCCCAGGGACAGGGACCACCAACTTTATAGACATCCTGGAGGGGCAAACACCAGTGTCCGTCTGTTGGGCGAGTTGGTGGCAGGAAAGTGTTGACGCAGGTGTTTTCCTTTCCCATTTTTGCTTAGGTTTAGCGGTGGTTTTCAAGACACCTGTGTCCTGGCGGCAGACCTGTGGCAAAAAAGTGTTTTATGACTCTTTGGTTATTCACTTTTCTGAAGAGTTCTTTCCAGTGTTTTGTTCACTTTTCTATTAAGTTATGTATCGTTTATTTATTGTTGTTCTGTGGGAGTTTTTTTTTTTTTTTAATATATCTTGGATATTCGTTCTTTTTCACCTTTTTACTTTTTCCACTGTCTTCTAACATTGGGGTTGTCTCTTCTCTCAGTTGTCTTTGGGTGATCAAATTTTATTAATTTTAATTAATTTTATAGCTTTTTGTATCCTTCTTTATGCAGTCTTTTCCTACTTCAAGGTTGTGAATATATTCTACTGTTAATCTCTCACACTTAGATCTTCAGTGCATCTAGAAATGATTTTTGTGTATAACGTAAGGTAGGGATCAAGATACATTTTTCAGATATGGAGATATAAAGTAATCTATTACCCTTTATTTAAAAGACCCCCTCCTCCCCTCCCCCCGTAGTGTCTCCTTTGTCATTATCAGATGAGTATGCAAGTATGGGTTTATTTCTGGATTCTCTACTCTATTCTATTGTTAATGGGCTGACACTCGCACTAATACCCTTTTGTATTGATTATTACAAGTTGATAGTAGGTTTTGATATCTGGTGGCATATACCTTTCAATTTTATTTCTTCTTTAAGATTCTTTGGATAAATCTTAGCACTTTGGCTTCCCATATGAATTTCAATTCCCTTGTCAATTAAAAAAATTCCTTCTGGGATTCTGTGATCACATGAAGGCTATAAATTAATTTAGGAGAGGTGGCATTTTTAAATCTTCCTATCTGTAATTGTGATGCATTTTTTTTCATTTATTTAGGTTTTGATTTCCCGCAAATAAATTTTATATTTGTCCATGTAGATGCTTTATACAACTTTCAACAAATTTTTTTCTGGGTACTTGATTCTTTAATATTACTGTATTTATCAGCTTATTTCTGTATTTGGTTGTGCACATGATTTCTGTGTATTGATTGTATATTAAGCAACTTTACTAAATTCATGTATTAATTCTAATATACTGTGTTTCTTAATTTGAGTGCTAATGATACATATGCTAACTTTATAAATATGTGTTCAGCTATACATTTATAATATGTGCTCTTTCTTTATATTTTCTATAAAAATTTTACCAAAAAACTCAAACTTGACGAAGTTGCTTGATGAGTTTCCTTGCTACCAAAGAGAACTGACAGACTGATTAAATACATTTTTCCTAACTTTTTTGAGTGACAAAACTTTTGAGGATCTGATGAATGCAACAGTCTTCCTCTATAGCAGATTTCCCACTGTACAAACAGAATTTTAGGATTTCAAAAATACACAAAGTTTAATGTGGGCTCCCAGGGTTCCTGGATTCCTTTTGAATAAGTTTTGCCCTAGAATAGTGGTGTGCATAGAACTTTCTGTGACAATGGCAGTGTTCTACATCTGCACTGTCCTACAGAGGGACTGGATGTTTAATTGCATTAGATTAACAGAAAACAACTTTAAATGTGATGCAGCCTTTCAAATACTTACATAAACTCCATAGTAATTTAGTTTCTAAAATATTTTGTATATAATAACATAAGGTTTCTTTAATAATTAAAGTATACACTTGGTCTTAGTTTATTATGACTATACCTTACTCCAAACAGCCATAAGTTTTAAAAAACAATTTAACTTCTTGACATTCTTCAATAGATATCACTTACATACTCCTACCAATAGGTAGGCCATTTTTGTCTTGTAATAGATCCAGCAATTTCCAGTGCTTCCACAGCGCTCATTATCCCGAAAGATGCAAGAAGTTTCTCTTATTATTTTAAAAATTACTGGTCCAGGTATAGTCCCTATCAAAAATGCAATGATAATAAATTCTCCATGAAAACACTGTAGGCTGGAACCAGAATGATTTTTATCCCAAACTTAAACTTACTTACTTAGTCATCATCACTCTAAATATACCATTTTAAATTATCTAAGAATTTATTTTTTAATAAGATTGTTAAAAACTGGAAACACAATTGTGTGTTTTTGAAAATCCTTATTCTTATAGATATTTTTAAAAAAGAACTAGCAGATTTTCTTTTTCTTAGAATGGTATACATGCTCTTATTTAGTTCAGTGGTCCTCAACCTTTTTGTCATCAGGGACCCGTTTCCTGGAAGACAGTCCTCCCACAGATGGCGGCAGGGGAAGGGGGTATGACTCAAGCACATTATATTTATTATGCCACCACTGATCTCACAGGAGGCAGAGGTCAGGTGGTCATGCGAGCAATGGGGTATGACTGCAAATACAAAGGAAATTTCACTTGCTCACATGCCGCTTATCTCCTGCTGTGTGGCCCAGTTCCTATCAGGCCGCCAGACAGTACTGGTCCGTGGCCTAAGGGTTGAGGACCCCTGATCTAGTTGACATCTCAACATTTTTGTTAATTTCTGAATTAAAAGTTTAGGAGAAAGTATTTAAAACAGAGATTCTAAATACTGATTTTGTGAATCCAATGTATCTCTCAAAGATTTAAAATTCTGAAATTTTCAATGACTGAAAAATTAGTTTTGAAATGCAATGTGTTATCTGTTATGTATCAAGATAGTGAGAGAAATAACTGAAAAAGTAAATGCTTTGGTATGTTTGTAGCAGCCCTAGCTTCAGAAGACCCCAAATCTAGAGGCATACTTGTGTGCTGCCTGAGAGAAATCTCTGTATACTCACAGAGAAAACATCTTCCCAGCAACAGTATCACTTTCAGATAAAAGTGAATGAAGTCTTTTTAAAAATGAATAAGTAAATAAATACCACTCCAAAGACATTAGAGCTAGGTTCTCAGAACTAACATATCTAGATTCTCAGAACTAACATATCTAATGACTGATCTTCTTGCTTAAGAAATTGTGAGTTCTCATGCATCTTGACTTTTTTGATGCCTGTCAAAGAAAGCTACCCATCACCAGATTTCCCAATCCCAGGGAGTGCTGGCACTCTGTCTACAATTGCTCAAAGTGAAATGAGGCCTATTAACTCATTTTTTTTTAATTTCCCACCATGTTTTTTCCAATCCATGATAAATCTTGATAACACTAACTCCAAGTATATCTTAGATAAGTTGATTTATCTTTTTCATTACAACCCCCAGAATCCAATTTAATATAACTCAGACTAAGACTTCAGCAAACACATTTATCTTTTATAAATACTTCTCTCCAGCAGCAAAGTTATCTTTTCAATGTAAATCAGGTAACATCTATCATCTGCTTAAATTTTCTGATAGCTAGAGAAAGTCATATCTAAAAGATCATCACCTTGTTCCACCCTCTCTCATTCAAAAATGCACCAGGCTCACTGGCTTCATTTCTGAGGTAGAAAACTGTGCACTTGCTCTTTCTTATGCTTCCTCTATGATTCAGAATCTATCTTTATCCACTGGATTTTTCTCAATTAAAATGACTATTCTGAACCCTGAATACTGACCTAAGAATTTCTCTGATTCCCCATTAGAGCCACACTTAAATTCTTCTACATTCTTGATTCTAATTACTGTCTGTCTCTGTCCTCAACCCATCTAATCATGTTTCCTTACCCCACCAATATTTTAAATCAACTTCTTGAATCAGAGCTCCTCATATGGTCTTAATGTGGACTTGAGAGCTAGTTTTTGCACTTTAAAAAAGCCTGAAGTACAGAGTGCATCACCATCAGAAAAATCAATTTGTTCTTTGTGTGTAAATCTTTAAAAACATCAGATACAGTATCTTTGGTAATGAATAAAATCTGAAGCACTAATCTAGACTAATGACTTCTCAAACACCCAAGAATGTAGAATATAGTTTCTGTGCTTATATGTACTTTGTTTCAGCTTGCCAAACCATTTGTATAAGCTTGAAAAACATATTTCTGATCAAAAAGATTTTCTTCTAGTTGAGTAAAAAATTAACACACATTTTATATGACAAGATGGGTTTACATTAAGTATTATCTTTTTGTACTGTCTCCTAAATTCTGTAAAGCATCTCCCCTATTCACTTGTTTTGTGTCAGTTTATCAATGTTATCATTATTATTTGTTTGAAATTCTATATATACATGTTGACACATATAAATCAAAAGAAAAACAATTCAATTCAATTCAATAATAGATTGCCAAAAATCCATACCACATATTCTCAAAATCACAAAGCTCATACCCATGGCCAGAGGACGCTGTTTGTCAGACACAATCCTGCAAGCAGATAGCAATGATATCATCAGAACAGCATCATTATTAGCTGTAGAGAATGTTTGCTAGGTTCAGGGCTAATTTTTTTTTTCCCCTGTGCATCCATTAGACCAAGAATCTTTAGCCAGTTGACAGATTTCAATCTGGTTGAATTAATTACAGCTCTTCCCATTTCCCCATATTCTGCCCTTTGCCAACCAACTTTAAAACGTCTTGCACTTCTCAAGGAGGAAGCATTTATGGCCCAAACTCTCTGCTCCAGTCTTTGCTGGAAAAAAATGTAGCACTGTCTTTCCTACCTTCTCATTTTTCACTCTGTGGGGCAGTTGTCTCAGATGTCTTCGTTTTGTCCCCATGAGATTCATTCTCTACTTTTCTCTCCCTTGCTCTCTGCCTTGGGAAGCTGACTCGAATGGACTACATCAGGATGTTCTCTTGTCCCCTGGCTACCGATTGGGTTCTGCCAATGCCGTGCTCCAGAGTGAGAAAGGAAAGGGGCGTGAAGGTCTTCAGACCCAGGTTTCCTCCCTGAAAAGTTTCCCATGTTGACTGGGTCCCTCAGCAAACAGTCCCCTCTACAGGTCTCTCCTCTTCCTAACCTTGTTCCCCTTGGGTGTGGGGCCGTAAAAGACCCGAAGCTCTATACTGTGTGATGCCTTATACCCTGCCCACATTTTAAATAGCCACTTTATTCAACCTTACTTGTTCTAGTTGGAGAGTGCCATCTCTTTTCTGTTGGAAATCTAAATTTTACCCTCACTATTCAAAAGTTGAAATAAATGAAAAAATTACTTTCTAAAAAAATATATAAAGAATGAAGATCTCTGTACTTTGTTTGGGTCAAACCAAGTATTTGTTTTAAAAAGAAATCGTAATGCATAATGTCATATAGTAGTAGTTTGGAAAATAAACTAAACTAAAATAAAAATAATTAACCTCTGAACATTTTCGAAAGTAAAAAAATCAAAGCTACATTTAAATGGATATTTTAAACAAATCCTATGCTTAGTCTTTATTTACTTGTTCTGCAACTTGAATAATAAACAAACATGACCAATATTGTCACCTGGAAATGACTCAGTGTATTAAAATGCAGCATTTGTACAGTATTTTAAGACTCTTTTGTAAAAAGTCAGATAACTCCACCTGTATCAACCTGGTAAAAATACATACTCTTCTCTCAAATGTTTACTACTAAGAAAACAAAAACAAATTTACCAATTCTTAAAGGATAATGATGTTTTTAAATGAAAAATAATTCAACTGTTACTATGAGCAGATTCATTAAAGACATATAAAGGAAGTAAAGAGAATTTTTTTGGTATTTTGTCTAAAGCGTACGGCTGTGACAAGATGGTTTAAGAATTTCATGGAATAAACAAAACATTTATTAGTAATCTTCCAAAATGGAATAGGCAGTTTCCAATATCTCAGACGACTTCTAAATTTATATTTTCAGCCCATATCTTTCTTAAGTTCTAGACTTCAGTTCCTATCTTGCACAAAAGTTGCATCCCCCTGGTGTCCCCTATCCCAAGAAGTAGAATCATCATCCATGCAGCTTTCAAGCCCAAAATCTAGAATGAGGCATGCTTGAAAGAGTATCCTTTCCCTCATTCATCAAATCAATAATAAAGTACTGTGATTTTTAAAAATAATTTTTTTGATAACTTTTTCTGACTTTCTTAATCTCTAATTCCACTGATCTATTTCAAGCATGTATTTTTTTGCCTGAAGAAAATGAAACAATTTCCTAACTTATCTCGCCAAATGATTTTTAATCGCTTCAGCCCACTCTTTACATAGAGCCACAGTGATTTTTTTTAAGGTAAAATTTTGATTATTTCATTGCCCCACTAGGATCCTTTGATGGCTCCAGTCTCATTGCTCGCCACCTCACAACTTTTGCCTTTGTCATCCTCTTTAAACAATCTATCACACAACACTCTTATAAAGCTGTTTCTTGCATTCAGCTCAGAGTCTTTGCATATACTGTTCCCACTGTGTGAAATTCTCATCTCCCACCTTGTAGGACTTAGTTAAAATGTGATTTCTTTAAGGATACCCTCTCTGAATCCCCAGACTAATTAAGATTGTCCTGTAATTTTCTCTTGGCATTCTTCTACATTTTCTTTGCAGTATATTTTAATGTATAATTAAACACGTATAAGTGAAACTACTTTTCTTTTCCCCCCCGGCCTTACAACCCTCCAAAGTCTATCAGAGAAGCAAGGACCTGGTCACTTCTATTCCTCTTTCAGTTCACCTTTTTCCCTGAAAGTGCTCATCCACCTTCTAGCTTAAATCCATGGTACCTATCACAGGTGAGAAGAATACCTAGACATGTTAAAATAATGAGGAATGGAAGGGAAAGACATGATGAACTAACTCTTCTTCATGAGCACCTTGATGGAGAGAGAACTGACAAATCATACGCCTCTGTTTAGACTGAAGCCTCACAGCTTCAGACGGGTCAAGTTTGTCCGGAGGGAAAGGAACGTTGTCCTTCTTTGCTGCTGTTCTGTCGCCAAGTTGTGTCCGACCCTTTTGCAACCCCTTGGGCTGTAGCCCACCAGGCTCCTCTTTCCACAGGATTCTCCAGGCAAGAATACTGGAGCGGGTTGCCATTTCCTTCTCCAAGCGATCTTCCTGACCTAGAGATCGAACCTGCGTCTCCTGCACTGGCAGGCAGATTCCTTACCACTGAGCCACCAGAGAAATGCTACCCCTCATCAAGAACTGGAAAGAACATCAGGGTCAGTTCTAGATCCCTATTACATCTCTAAAAGCCCTGCTTGCTCTGGAATTTTAATCCCTCTAGTCCTCTGCCACTTATGCCTTTAATACATTTAATTCCGCTTTTCTAGTGATCTTCTGAAAGAGCACCGGCCTGCTGAAAAGTATTTCATCCTACATCACTTCCATGACATGAATTATCACTTGATCGTGACTTCACAATTTAGGTATTTGACTCTATCATTGTATTTTTAAAAAATAAATTTTGTGGAATTTGTATTATAACTATATGCTTTGGAAAGCTACAAAAAGAGCACATACTGGAGAGGCATGCTTGTTTATACCCCTGCTCTCATCTACTCCCTTGATGCACTTAATTAGAATTTTACTTTTGTTGTATTAAATTCCTACAGGGGTTGAGATCTATTTCTAAACCTAATGTCATTCTATTCATGAATCAACACTACACTGCTTCGGTGTTGAGGCTTTATATTGCATTTAGCTTATGAGGATAAGCCTGTTACTTGTGCCTCTTTGTTTCAGATTCCCAAACCACTCTTGTTTATTATTTTCCCAAAAAACTTTAAAATCAGCTTTTACATTTCAATAGTTCTATTGGCATTTTCAGTATCACATTAAAGTTACACATTAACTTAAGGGGAATTGATATATGGGTGGTGGTAGGTCTTCCTACTCAATAATTGGAGATAGACCCTTCCAAAGTGTTCAAGTCAGTTTTTGTGACACTCAAGTGTGTTTTATTTTGAAATTATTATTTATCTTTGAATAACCTGAAACTCACAAGTGGTTGTAAAAATATTAATAGTACAAAGAATCCTGTGTACCCTCACCTAGCATCAGTAAATGGTGGAATCTTATATAACTGTAATTACAATATTAAAGCTAGAAACTGACATTGACTCATTGCTGTTAACCAGACTATAGACCTTAATTTATTTTCATTTTTCAGTTAATAAAGTTTAAATTTTTTAACTGAATTCGTGTGTGTGTGTGTGTGTGTGTGTGTGTGTAGCTCAATGTATCTGTTATTTTTTATATTCTGTCACCTTACTAAATACTTAGTTAAATGTACTGGCTATTATTTCTAATACAGTGTAAAAAAGAACTGGTAATATTGCTCTCAGAAGTTCTATTGTGGCTGGGTAGATAAGTACTAGAGTTCAAATCTCACCAAAAGTGAAGGATCCTATATTTAACATACCTTTCTTTCAATTGAATCCTCCTGAAAGATTATACCCTAGTATCAGTCTTAAAATTGATAAGGTCTAAAAAACTTATGTGGAGAAGGAAAGGGCAACACACCCCAGCATTCTTGCCTGGAGAATCCCATGGACAGAGAAGACTGGTGGGCTACAGGCCATGGGGTCACAAAGAGTCAGACATGACTGGGCGACTGATACTACTACTTAAAAAACTTAAATCTACCGTCAAATCAGCTAAGTTTTTGCTTGGCTTACAGGAAACTGTTCCTACCTAACCTTTCTTTAAAAAGCTATTGTAAAGTATTTTTGGAGTTATTAACATTCAGAGTCTCTATTAATTTTGGTGCACAAAATCTCACATATGATTAAAAATAAGTACAGGAGTTTTAACAGACAGAGTCAAGAGGAAAACTGAAATTTAATAATTCTACAGAACATTCAGATACTAGATACCTGACAGATATTTTAAATTTAGGGAACTAATAAGTCCAAGGAAACAGATGACAAGGTAGAGAATATTATCAGAGAACTAGTCTATTAAAAAGAAATAAAATTCTATAACATAAAAGTACACTAATTATAATGAACTCATGGATGAATTTAAAAGCTAATTAGATACAGAGACAGCTAGAATTAGTAACCTAGGGTACATAACTGAAAAAGCAGGTGGAAATATGATTAATACATTGGAGATCAGTGAATAAACTAAGGCTGAAGCACAGAGCATAAAAACAAATGAAACGGAAAGTAAAAGTGAGAAGATGCATGGATATGGTGAAAGGTTTACAATTTGTGTAACTGATATCCAAAAGGTAAGCAGACTAAAAATGGAGCAGAAGCAGTACGTGAAGAGATAATAGGTATTTTCCAAAACCAATGAAAGATGCTGTGGTAGATAATTACTTGAGATGGCTATCATTGATTCATTTTTCCCCTAAGACATGCACGTTGCTCCTGACCTAAAGAAGTGGAACGATAACCCTATATGCAAAACAGAAAAAGAGACACAGATGTATAAAACAGACTTTTAGACTCTGTGGGAGA